GATACAATAATTAATCAAATTTCCAGCAAAGATATACTTTTGTGCAATATGTATGCATAAATTATAAGCTCACAGCACGCTTACGGAAATAAGTCTAATCAGGCTTAAGCATGTAATAACGTTTAATGCATCTCTAAATTTCAAGCTAATTTGATTCCTTTTGCGTTCGATCTTGCTCATGTAATGCACGATTTTCCGGATCATATTTCCGGGAAAAGAATTATAAGAGTGTTATCCACATGCAATCCCATCTATAGCGCAAGTAAAAGCATGCTATACTGACTGTACGTTCCTTATAAAAAATGTATCAATCCCCTTTGAAAGCGAGACACGTGCCCAGGCACATGTACACATACGTACGTACACACAAGCTATGGCACCGCTTGAAATTTAAATATTATAAGGAGGAATTTAATGCACGACTTAAAGCTATTGTAGGAAAGCGTAAATTCAACTTTGTCTCTGCGTGTCTTTTTTTTAAGTGGAAGGCGGCGTAAACGAGTTTTCCAATAACGTGGGCGACGCGACGCTTCGAAAAATACAACTGTCTCTGTTTTCTTTAGCACGAACATTTTTTTTTCGCAAGAGCACTTAATATAATACGTCTTTTCTGAACAAAAATATCAAATCGTACTAATAATTCATTAAGTAGACTAAAAATAGATTCTTTCTCGAATTAAATTTCAAACAAAGAAAGAAAGAAGGAGAGAGAAAGAGAAAGAGAAAAAGACAGAGAAGGAGAAAGAGAAACAAACTTTTATTCTTTATTCAATGCCAATCAATTTTGCTTCTTTCGCATTCTCTCTCCAATATATACTCTCCAACGCGTCCCACTCTTCCTCTCCCTCCTCTTTTTTTAATTTCCATTGTCGCGAGGTCTCACAATTATGGTACCGTGTGCGTGAGAAATACGTTAGGAAAGCAACATAATCATCCCAGATGATTGAAGAGCGATTAGACTCAATTATACACAACGGCTTCAAAGTATGCCTTTGTTATGTTAGAAGACCTTCGATGTTTCGGCTACGTCAGGAAGTATTATGAGCGCACTCGAGTGAATAAACGCATTGGTAATACAGTCACGTTTCCGTTCCCGCAAAGCTGCCCGAAAGTTTGCGCGCAGGAGACATTAGATATTCAGTTTTGCTCACGTATCACGTCGAAAGAAAATTTTCAGTTAGTAAATTATAATCTTGCGCCCGCAGGATGGGTCACGCTTGCGTTGGGGGAAATTATTTAGCGGAAATCGCGCGCGAAGGTACGTTTTAATTGTCAAAAGAAAAATATGATACGTGAAGAGGAATCTATTATATAGAGAGATTGGAAATTAGTATCTGAGGGACTGAAATTAGCCGGAGGGAGAAATTAAGTGGAAAACTTGCCTCATTGGAAATGATTTTCTCCATTATTAGTTACTGGGGCGTGTTATTACGTGCAATATTGCGGTATTATATCTTTTCACGAGATTCTAACGAGGTACACCGATGATGCGCGATTTTACTTCATCGTCAGCAGAATTGACGCGTGTGCGTGTCCGATTATTAGGGGAATTTCTGCAGCGTGCGAGAGAGTCCAAAGGATCGCACAATATACTGCAATGCGACAAATGAGCATGACTGGGGGATAAATCGCGAACTTGTATTATTCGCGTTCTTGAAATCGTTATCGAACCCGTCTATCTTTTTATATTTAACTGTCATCAAGTGGATTTCGCTCAGACGCCATGTGTCGATCTGCCCAATGCACACTATTAAGGCCGCGACATTAAGCTTGCATCCAGACGAGAGTACGTCTTCAGGATCGATATTATTATCATATGGACCCATCAGTTTGTACATCTTTGCTATTGCTATTTAGCTATTTAGCGAATACTTTTGTATATGTTTAATTTTTCAACATTTTCATTATTATTGAAGAGTACAATGTCTCTTACAATTGGCTTCTTTCCATTCGCGAAAATGTAAGTGTCTCAAATGAAAAAGACCCTTTTATTTTTTTTTTATTTTATCGTTCTTAAAAGAACAGATTGATGAGAGAATTTTACGGTTAAAATAATACCAAACACAACACAATTCGAATAATGTTTAATTAAATGTAGAATAAAAAGTTTAGAAAATTACTTGAATCATGTTGTTTGATGCAATTTCACGTCAAAGGCTTATTAATCCATTAAAATTATTTAAAATAAAGTTAAAATCATAATAATTTTTTTTATTATTTAAATAAAAAAATATTAAAAATAATTTTAAAAAAATAATTTAAAAAAATCAAATTTATTATTTTTTCAATGAAAAAAAATCGCATTTTTCAACTTTCTTTTTTAGGAAAAAACAGCTTTTTACATATCTGGTTTTACTCATAAAGTCTCGGAATTTGGCGAATTCGCTTTTCTATATTACAACGGCGACTTCTCCGAAATACATTATTCCAACTGTCGTACGAAATCGAAGGGAATTCTCCGGATACGAGTGGCAAACTCGAGTCTTCCCGTTTCCGATGTTTCTTTGCCGCATGCCGATGGTCACCGTCTTGTCACCCATCACGTATCGTAAAAGATACGAGAGAGTATCGACTCTCAAACTGCGCTTTCGTCTAATTTCTTTCGAAATCGATAAATTTGCGATATTCTCAAGCTAGCATTGACGGTTATAGATGAGTAAAAATCAAGCTAGTTTATGTAAAATCATAAACATGCATAAAACGTTACGAAAATATCGACATTCCCGAGCCGTTAAAGTACATCTCTCTCATGACATATTTATTATTTTCATTCAAAATATTGATTTTTTTCGATATTTTTATAATTATTTTTCGCTAAGGTAAAAAATAATAAACGTATAAAATGTATAGTGAAATTAAAAGATGTAGGTAGGATGAAACCAACTTCGTATAAATCTCGTTCTCATCCTTCGTAATAAGCGTTTATATTTCCTGTCATTGTCGCGTGTTGCATTTCGGTTCGCCATACCTCAGGTCCCCCTCGTTATACGGCTTACAAAGCGACCGCGTCGATTGATTAATCACCGGTCTTACGCGAAAACAGTACAAAATGAGCAAAAGCAAAACTTGTTTTGTACGGTAATCCAGCGGAAAGAGAACGGGGGAAGGGAAGGAGAAGAGGGCAATAATGCATTACCCGATATCCACTTGTCATTAATTGCATCATCCGCTTCAATCGAAATCATCCTCCGCAAGGTCACCCAGTTTGGTCGTTCGCACGACTCGTTATTCTAGCAAGCTCGTAATTTATCGTTCAATAAAATCACATCGAGATTTAAAAGTGCAAATGCCTATTATAGGAATAATAAAATTCAGTTTACTCCAATTTCTATCAATCTATAAATGCCGAGCAATCTTCCGATTGTAGGGGCAGCAAAAACGACCACTGTCTAATTGTCTTATCTATCTACCACCTGCTCTATTATCGTTATTATCCGAGGCAACCTGCAAGACATTACGATCCCATTCGCCGATTTATCCCATTATCGTCCACGCACGCGTAGGTTCGAATCTTTCTTCTCGTCATTTCTGCCCTACTCGGCGACGACCCCTTTCGGAAAGGGAAGGAAAAGCCATCCCCCGCAGGTCCCCCCGCGCGATCTGGTGGTCGTTACGTCATTTCCGGCACGTCCGGGTCGCCGGTTCCTCCGCGCGACCGGCGCGATGGCCGCGCATCCATGCCTTTCCCCCGCGCGCCAACCTTTCCCCTTGCCCCTTGATTTGTCCGCGACACCCAGCAGACTCCAGAAGTGTGTTCTACGTCGTGGTCGTCCCTGACGTGGTATAGACCGGCGGCGCGATGACGGCGGTAGGCCCGGCTGCGCGGAAGACCAAACGCGCCGGGTACGACTAGTGGGGGTGCCGGTGCGTCGCGACGGGAAGGGAAGGAGGGCGAGAGGGAGGGAGGGATCGGCGGCGAGGAGGGACGGAGAGGATCCGCCGCCGACGCAGGGGGCCGCAGCGTCGCGAGTTCTCCCGAGTCAGAGAGCCGGCAGCCCGCAACGCGAGTGTGTTGCTGCCGAGCTTTGATAGTCGAGGGGCCGCAACAAGCATTGTGAGAACCGTCACCGTCGTCGTATTCGTCATCGACGTCGTCGTCGTCGTCGTCGTCGTTGTCCTCGATAGAAGAGAAGAGAGCCCATCGAGGAGAGGAGAGGATTTCACGTCGTACTCCCACATCGACGGAGAGGCTTCCGCATCGGACTACGAAAACGCCGACGGAGGCCGTCCGTCGATCGCCGGTCTTCACGTAGCTCTCTCTCTCTCTCCTCTCTCCCTATCTCTCTTCTTCTTTCGCTCTTCTTCAACCCTGTCGTCTTTGGAGACGACCAGCATCAACGTATTCGATCCTCGGTATATACTTTTCATACGTCTTTCTCTCTTTTTAACTCTCTCTTTCTCTCTCTCTCTCTCTCTCTCTCTCTCTCTCTCTCTCTTTCTCTCTCTCTAAAATTGATTTTCTCTTCCTATATTTTATCTGTCATCCGCCCTAATTTCCTTTTTTGTTGACTATATATTTCTCTCTTCTCGCTATACTTGATATTTTAATCTCATCCAAGTATTCTCAATCGCTGACTTCGCATAGTACTTTCCGCGGTGCGCAAAGTACGCGAAAGGTGGGGCCCCGGCCGGGTCTCGAGAGAGCGGACGAAGGGACAAGGGCAGCTCGGTGACGTGTCGTCTCCAACGTACCCGCGACCCATCCCTATACAAGGACACATCCCTGGTGATTCCGGCTCTTCAAGGGCAACAATCATCGCGGCAACAACAGCGGCGGCCCTCCAGGAGTTACCTATCTGGTTATCTAGAATCCGGATTTTCGGGACTTTCCCGGTACTCGGAATATTGCTGGAGGGTGTAACGAATAACCAGGTGAGTTATTACTAGGAACCTGATCGATCGAAATCCCTTACGTGCCGGCGACCGCCGTGTTTAACCGGGTCATCGATAACAACCAAACGACAGACGGGTTGAAGAACATGCAATTGTAATGACGAAATTCGCGCCGACGATATTTCTCGCCTGCGATATGACGTATGGATTTTATCGGCCGCATCATCGAGCGGTCCGCGAGAGGGGGCGACTTGTTACCAAGGGGTTGCACTGCAGTCGCGGTTATCGTGGTGGGGCGATCTCGTCACAAGTCCGAAAGTTTCTCCCCCGGCGTGATAGTGCGACCCGACATTCTCGATCGTTTTTCATCGCAAGAAGAAAGACTCGAAAGGAAATCAACGAGAGAAAAAGAGGGAGAGTGACAGCTCCAGCGACAGTGTTGGGACCACGATCAGGTACTCGTATCGTCTTTTCCTGATGTACGTTTCTGACTGAATACGGATAGTCATCCCTTCGTGACTGAAACGAAATCGGTGTGGATCGATCACGATTCGGTCAGCAAGAACATTTTCGGCCGTCTCCCCTCGTCGTTTCCACAACCAGAATTTGGATCAATGATCTAAGACTGGACTATGCGTGAGGAGGGATACCCGGTGTCTCTCTCGTGCCCTGCGCATTGCGCCCGACAGGATGTGGGATTGAGAGCGCCATTCTCGTGATAAATCCTGCGCAATGCCGGCTTCGGCGACCAGGAAGCAATCTCCGCAGGATCGTAATGATATCCTCCCTTCGCGATCAGCGATTTCGAGGCCGCGGATTTTCTCGCAAGCTTTCCACATGAGGCTTCCTTTCGGGAGTGACTTCATCTTGGGGAACTGATTTTCCTTTCAGGTCGGAAAGCTCGATCTCTCGTAAGGTTTCGAATCTCATCAATGTTCGGCTTATTCCTTAGGAAGGTTAGCAATATTCCATCCCTTTCCTTTCGCTTTAGAAGAGTTTAGATTTGTCGAAATTCAAATAAACTCCAAATGAATGATCTTGAAATTGAAATTTTCATGAAGCAGCAAAAAATAAATTTGTCAAAATTTACGCAAAAATTTCCATAGACATAGATCTCGTAATTTTTTTAGACATTCTCTTTGATGAAATTGCTCGTTAATTCTTCTTCATCTTTCTCGGTAGCGAGTCACACACATTTTTTTCTCGCCATGACTTTTTCGATGCCAGCGCGAACGATTGATCGTTCCGTTGTTGGCCGGTACGTATGGTCGCCGGCCATAAAGCGAGCATTAGAAGGGTAATATCGTCTTCAACAAGGGAGATTGCGACCGCGTTAAAAGAAGAAGAGCGAATAAAAAGCGAGAGAGCAACTCTTTGTGTACCACTGCAACCCCTCGCTCGATGTTAGGCTTTTTCTCGCCACTTCTATTTCGGCCCCGAGGCCTCCGTTTCATCTCGTACGCAATGCAGATGGAGCATCCGAGGGTATAGAATGGTATAATGACGCGGCGGACCGAGGTAAATTTAACGAATAATCCTCGAGTGATAGTGGGACATAAATCATCTGATGCAGGCTACAACTCTCGTTCTTCGCTCTCTCGTGGCGCGTCAAACGCGTTAATTGCAATTAGCATCATGCATGCGACGTGTGCACACTAATAGAAAGCAATAGTCGTGGTAACGTTAAATCGTTGTCTTATTCCTTGGTGAAAAATTTAGCAACTTATTTTTATGAGAATATAAAAAGTCTTTTTTCTCAATTTTATATATCTTTCTTCGCCTTCAAGATTCGTGATAGCAATGAAATTTAAGTGTGATTTAAGAACTAATTATATTGATAATTGAAGTGTTAATAGTCGACTATCGCAGAGGAATAAATATAGCGGTGTAAAAAGTTAATTACACTTAAATAAAAAAATGGAAACAAGTGGACTGACAACCACTTAATATGGCATTAATTAGTAATCAACATTCAATGATCAAACATTTCTGTACTTTTATACGTGCGTATGTTTACGTTTTTATATCATTGAAAATATATATTTGAATCTAATTTATCTGATTTAAGAATAAATTACGATAAGATATGAATCATTGAGATAGGAAAAATCGTTAATGTCTGACAGATCAGATATGTTCATTAATAAAAACGATAAGAATCAATATAAAAAAAATTATCCATATATCAATTTGTTTGAAATTTATATACATTTGCTTTACTGTATATGTAAAGACCATAAATCTCTCTTTCAATCATTTCTATCAATATTTGATATAATTGATTTTTATATATGATATATAATTGATATAATTGATATAAATGATATATAATTTATATATAATTGATTTTTATAATTGATTTTTAAAACTAATTCATCATATGAATTTTATTATAATGTTTCAGCAATGAATATTTTCTATTATAACATTGCAGCAATGAATAATCTCTATTATAACATTGCAGCAATGAATACTTCCTACTGCAGCAATAAATACCTTCATATATATTGCAGCAATAAATATCTTCTATTATCAAATGTTCAAAAATATATAATCTTTTCGAATTACAACACAAAAAAATTCTTTAAATGGTCCCAATGATAAATTAAGTAATAGAATAAAGGCTAATATAGACCAAACAAAGCGCAGGTGGTAGAACGAGACAGAAAATTTCTTAAAATTAATTCTTTATAAATTCAATAAATTCATACATACATCTTACTATATCTTCATATCATACTATATCTTCTATTATAATAATGTTGCAGCAATGAGTACTACGGACCCCACCGGGGAGGGTGGAGGAGGAGGAGGAGAGGGCGCCATGTCGGCTAATGCCGAACAGAATGCGTCTCCGAGCACGCCTAATACCGGCACCACGGTACCGGTACAAGCGACTACTCAGCAACAGCAACAGCACCCGCCACCGTCGCCCCTGAGTGGCTGTTATCTTCTCGTTGTGCTTCCTGAGCCTCATACTGCGCAACATAAGGACCTCATCCTGAACCGCCTCGCGAAAGGTGAGTTATCGCTTTTGCAAATCGCTGATTGTGAATCACGAAGTGATGATCATAAACAGCCATTTATAGCTATTTATACTATTAATGGGAGATACATAGACGAGACCCCTTGTGCACGAGAGATGTACATTTTTCGGGTGATCCTTCAACACGTGATCATTTTAAACAGCACGCATTAACGTATGCGTACGATTACGTTTGATATATATAATTATTAGCATATCTGTACGAAAAAATCGATGAGAAAGTATCGAACACAAGAATCGAGATATGATTGGCATGCAGCTAAAAATAAGAGTGCGCTTGTAAAACAACTGGCTTTCATTTCGGTCAAATTTCCGCTTCGCGATGTCGCATTTCACAGGATTAAGATTGCGCGTATCTGTCGTTCTTGGATACTTCCTGAATGTTGGTCTAACGGTGCTCGTCCTCCTCCGTTTAATTTTCCTTCCTTGACTTATCGGACAGACTGAAGTCGACGGTTGCTAGGCAGACTGTAAAATAAACTCTTTTCTTTAAGGATGATTTTTTGGTGACTTTTTCTTATTTTCTTATTGAAAATGTCAAGAGAAGAATCGATTACGAGTGGGCTAAAGAGCTTATCATCGAAAGAACATTCGACAATTTTGAAAGAGATATTTTATATATTTTATATATAAGAGATATTTTATATATTTTAATATTTTTAATAGTCTGTATAATTTAACTTAAAAAAAAACGCATTTATTTTTGAACAGGTAATATTTTAAAAAATGTAAGGTAATATATTTTTTCCAAACGTGCGTTACATTTTATGCAGAAATGTGTTTTAACAAATTTCACAGTTATTATCATTATCGTCACGAAATTATTGTTACTATCGCTATATACGATTGTGTGTTTGGGATTCATAATTAGGTACGTTTTAACAACGTGGCTTACATATTTAATTAGAAACAAATAAAAAATCAATGAAAGGAAACACACCTTTAAGTTTTATCTTCACAACATGGGATGTCCTAAAAGTGATAAAAAATAATATAGTGATATCTCAATTTGATTTAAAAAAATTCGATTAAAATTGAGATTCTCAGAGTAGGCGTATTATTTTTTTTTAATACGCCAGCACAAAATATTTTTGCGGATAACAAAATTCTATAATGCATTACCTCTCCATGTGAACATATTAAATTAATACACTTCGTTTTTTAAAGAGAGAGGGGGGAAAAGAGAGGGAGAGTCCGTATCGTACGTGGTTTCCGCATTGCGCCAACAATGATTTTTAAACGGCGCGCTTGTCGGCGCCTCATTTAACGTTTATCCGTCGATTTTTCAATCCTTTCGTGCGCAAATTCTATAGCCCGTGCAGCGAGTTTGCATTTGCGACGATGATCATGCGAAATGCCATGCGATAACGCAAATGCTACGCCGACTACGCCGACTACGTCGATTACCATTACTTTGACACTAATGACGAACCATATTTACGAAACGTATGTGAAATTTTTAATCTTAATTATGCACTTCAATTTTTTTATGGGTTAAAGCGTTTTATCTCCATTCTATGGAAATAAATTCAAAGAAATCGAACGCGTTTTTTTTTAACATTACTTCATTTACAAAAATCTCTATACATTATTTAGGCTTCTTCAGTTTATTTTAATAATAAATTATTATCACACAAATAATTATTTTCTTTCTATAATAATCATTATTATAATTATTCTCGTCTTACGTCTAGAAATACTTTTATATTTCTTTTGGTCTCACTGAGATTTTTATAATTTTATTATTTCTTTTTTAAAGAGAGTTCGTAGAGAGATATTTAGAACTAAGATTGCAAGACTAATCTCATTTAGAAACAAAATCTTGAGACAAAATCAAGATTTTTAATTATTTATCAAGACAAAACTAAGAATTTTCAAGAGTTTTTAAAAAAGTTAAAATATGTATATTTCAAATATGTATTTAAAATATGTAAATTCCAGAAAAAAATCACTATATTATATATGAAGTTAAAAAAATAAATTAAAAAATTAATAAATAAAAACATTTATATCAATAAACTTAGAAATAATTAATAAAATGAACAATATAAAATTTTATACAATTATTTAGATACACAAAACTTTGCGTACAATATATATACGCGATTCTTTGATATATGAACCTCGTCTTCTTTCTGGAATTCCTATATACAACTGCTTTTTTGTAAAAAAATATAAATAAATAAATAAATAAATCAATCAATCAATAAATATATATATATATATATATATATATATATATTATTGAATATTATTTTAAACAATTGTTAGTATTAGATAAAAATTGTTAGTATTAGATAAAAATTGTTAATAAATAAAAATTTATAAAATCCAGTCAAGACGAAACTTTGCCACAAAGATTTATTTAAGACCAAGATTTAAGTTTTTGAAACTATTCAATACCAATACACTATTTCTATTATTAAATATTTTGATCATTAAATATTGTTTTAAATAATTGCTCAGTATTAGATCAAAATTGTCAATAAAATCAAGACGGTACAAAAGATTTTTGCTACAAAGATTCTCTCAAAACCGAGACAAGATTCAATTTTTCGAAAATATTTAATACCACTACAATATTTTTATAAATATCGCCCTGTCTTGCATCTTGCGCAATCCTATTCAAGGCTGACATTGAGATTTGTCTTTATAAGTTTAAACTCGCGCAAAAACGCCTTCGGAGAGCTTTGCCCTTTGCTCTTTTCTTCATCGAGAAGAACGCCTCCGCGTTACTTCTTCTCTCTTCACGGACCTCCGCGTGGACTTCCTCTCTTTCTTCGTGTAAATTTAGCGGTAGATTTCGAGCCTACGAGAGACATTTGCTGCGCCATTTACTGTGCGTGTGCGCCTTAAATACATTGAAAAACGCGCGCGGTTTCACGGATTCTCTTCAAACTCGTCGAATCCTCGTCACGAAGAAGCATGTCCGTTTTCTTTATAGTCTACAGTTTTCTTGCTCCTTAATGGGATTCTAAGTGAACGTTCAAAGAACTTTGCACAAAGAGGCGAATGCAAATTTAGCAACGAAGACAATTGCAGCGAATTTAGCGAACATTCAAATTCTCGTAGGATATAGATTTATTTTAAGAAAATGAATTTTTATTTCGACGCGAACGTACGTATTATCACTTTTTCACACGCCTCGAGTAAAACAAGGTTCCATCATATTACAGCGTTCTTGCAAGTCGCTCTATTTCCTCACACAAAGGCCGAGGGATCCCGAGGATCCTCGTTTTTGATGAAGAAGAGAAATTTCGTAGCTCGCTCGAGCGAACTCCCTTTCAAAGGCAAATCGCGACCATTTGTGCTCGCTCAAAGTTCGCGGAGTCGCAGCATATATATCACGGGATATGTAGCGCGGTGTTAAATTGGAAAGAGGAGCGCAGTTTTTTTGAAAGGAATATTTTCCGCTCGGCGAATATTATTTTGCGCGCGTAATCCTGGTCGCCACGAGCGAGTAATCTTTTTTTTTCTCTCTCTCTCTCCTCTCGTTTTGCCCACGTACGTTTTGCGCGAGGCACGTTGCAAGCCAAAGTCGACGTTCACGTGTCGTGCATGCGGAAGTGATAGCGATTTATTTTGGACAAACGGCTCGCTCCTTCCGGAGAGGATTCTTATTCTCACGTTTTCGGCCCGACTATTCAGGCACGCTCGTACAAAACGTTTTCGCATGAATAATTAAAGGCAATCGCGTACAATCTCCAGCACAAATCCAGCGCCTCTCTTCATCGTCCTACGTTAATTAAATTCTATTGAATATCCCGGGTTCGATCGCGATATCGAAGATTAGATGTTTACGTCGCATCCATGTTATACGCGCGCGTTATTGATATCTTTACATACTATGTTCGTTCTATTTATAGCCAGTAAATAGCTACGTAGAGTTATTTATCGGAAACGCATCAATTCCGATAAGTCTATCTACAGCGATTTTATTATAGCGCATATTGTCGCGATTTAATATGCCGTCGGTTACGATTTCGCGTAGCTAACAATAAGTCTCTCGGAAATAATTAATTAATTAATTTTCTCGACACTAGACAGCCTTTTCGATAATAGTAAAACGGGAAGCAATAAATTAATTATTTAAAAATCTCTCTCATTGCGCAACAAAAGACTAATTTCGAACTAGTCCACACTGAGAAAAATCGTTTGATTGTACCAACAAGACGTATATGATTGAAGGCATTTTGGTTAAATCAAACAAGAATTTCTAGTTATCATGATAAGACTCGATTTTTTATAACTAGAACGTTTAATAGATTTTACTATAAGGATTTGATTAGTATTTTTTGGTTGGATCTATAAAATTTCTTGTTACATTAATTTCTTTGCTTGCCACTAGGCGAGCCACTTTTAACTTAACTCGTATTCAATATTTGCCATAAAATGTATATAAAGAACTAATATTAACATTAAATCCAAAGTATATTTTTTTTCTCTTACGAGCAGTAGTGCCAGAAAGAGGATGCTAGCTTTCGATTGCGTGTGTTTGAGCTGCATCCTCTTCTTGCATCACTGTTTATCAGTTTAATTTCTAACAAACTGAATTTAAAATAATTTATTCAATAATCTGGATTGAATTTATCCAATAATCTTGATGGAATTCAGAATATTAAACAGACTTTTGAGATTAGATGGAAAAAATTTTAGATGACTTGGTGCTGGCGAGTTTAGTATTATTAACAAGAAAATTTGATAAGGAAATTTAACAGGAAGTTAAATTAAGTTAAATTTAACAGGAAGAAATTAATCAGATTCATCTGGTAATTCCTACAAGAATTCTGGTTCGTCCATTTTCCAACAGATATACTGATTGGATCTATCAGAATTCTAATTAATGCAACCAGATTTTTTCCCAGTGCAAAAACTTGAAAGGCTTTTAATTTCGTTTTCGATTTTGGGTGTGATCGAATCAGACACGCCGCCCACGTGGACACAAAGTAATATCTCTACCCCGTGGTACACGGG